AAAACTAAATGCGATGACAATAATATATAAAAGTCAATACTTATGATACGTAGATGTAGAGAAATGATACGCCTGTCTCTTGATGTCGATAAATATCCTTGAGAATGTTCCAGATCACGAAGCGTTTCAATAATCGTCAATAATGCTCCAATGTTTGTAATAATCCAATAATGTTTGTTGTAATCCTATAATGTTCGTATCCAATAATGTTTAATGATAATCCACAAAAGTTTGATGATAATCCACAAATGTTTATGATAATCCACGAATGTATATGATAATCGGTATATAGTGTGTGTTATAATATATGTCCATATAAAGTCCTCAGGTTGTATGCTTGCACTGTTATAAATGTTCCCAAAGTAGGTGTCTGTAATTTTCTGCTAAGAAGATGTCCTTTTGATAGACTTTGAAATTCTGCTTTATTTAGTTCCCTTGAGATGTCCAGTTGATGACTTATAATTATCTGCTAATGAGAGTCACTGTGCTGTTCTTTTTATAATGTGAAAGAATAATCCAGAAACGAATCTTCTGGAACTACATCTTGATTGGACATCTTTAGTGACATGATTAAATTTTAATGAATGGTTATAATTTCTAGAACTATCTGGATGGTCAAGGGTTAATGAGTCATTCAGTTCAGTTTTGTTTACAAGATACAGTGTATAATGTCATTGTGACCTTGACCTAAGATCTCTAATGAAGAATAGCTCAACATATACAGCAAGCATAGATTACAAATTAAAAAACTATAGGTGAATATAGTAGAATATAATATACATGTAGCTCACTACTGTAACATAACATACCCCCTCATGTATGTTTAATTTAAAATAACTCAGTTGTAGAACATGAGCTATTTAACTTCTTTGAAAAAACTGACGAGCAGCTTTCCTACAATGGTGATGACAAGAGTTATGGAAACTATTTCTTTAATGGCTTCCAAAAAAGCTAATGGTCACTATTTTATCAACCAAAGAACTTGGTGCCCTATAATATCCTCTTTTGTGTTACCTATTTCATGGTGAGGCCTTCTATAGTTTGGCTGTCTAGATAATAGAGACCTTAAGATTGCACCAAATAGTAACCTGTACCTGTACGTGAAACATGATGCGCGCGCAACAAATCATGTAACTTTATGCTCCATTCGACACATCTGACTTGTTTTATAATCCCGTTGACGTGTAAATTCAATAGCGCCGGCCGTTTTTGTCGTCTTGTTGTGAACCTGTACGCGAAAGATTGTGAGTGAGATCAGTATTACACAACTATGTACTATTTATTTCACGGTCTCATTCATTTTACACGTGCGGCAAGACGTGAATTTGGCACTTTACAGGTTGGTTGGAACGTGAGTTTTGAACCATTGATAAATGACTAAAAAAACAATGTGCTGTTTATTTATGTTACTAATTTAAAAGTAACATATCTGTCGAATAGCTGTGTATGTGCTATGGTTCAATAAATAACGAATCCTATGGGTAAAGTTGCAGTTACTTTCAAGTATGAAATAATGGCAATTCATATTGCCATTATTGTATCACTTAAGTGAAAGCCATACTGTTCCGGCAGACTAGACTTTTTCGCTTTCTCCTTTACATGCCAGAGTGTTTTGTTCTGTTGTTTGATGTAAAGTATGCGAAAATTTTAAAAAATCGAAACCATCAAATATCACTTTTGAAACCATGGAATATCACTTTTAATATAAAAAGTGATATTCAATGCTTTCAAGATTTCTAATATGAAAAAGTGAGATTCGATGGTTTCAAAAGTGATATTCGATGGTTGTTTTTGCCAAAATATGATATCTTGATCCACATATCAAATATATCTTCAGGTGATATTCGATCTATATCCTTGCAACCATGGGATAAGTGCGGGTTATGGGAGGTTCTGTATTTGGGATATATCCTATCTTGCTAAGGGGAATATAGATATCTTACCGAGGGCCCGCACGGTCCGAGGTAAGATACCATATTTCTCGAGGGATATACCCCATATTCAAAACCGAGCATCGCATAACTGATTTACCTCATGACAAGTAAGATTTCACGAGTGCGGTTTTTAGGACACCAATAGTTTTTTAAAGTGTTCTCATTCTCATTATTTTCGAAAAAACCATCAACATTTTGGTCAAAAGAAATGCTACCGTCTGCTGCATCCATTTTGACAGTTTCGCTTTTGCAAGATACTGTAAAACGGGTATTGTTAGGGAGGGGTAATTGTTAGCGATTGTTAGCGATCGCTATAGTTCGCTAAAAATTCAATTCGCTAAAATAAACCGGGGTTAAAATAAACCGGGCGCTAAAATTTGCAAATTCCCGGGAAACTACATGAATACTAGTATTTAAGGAGCTTTTCGTTCAGTGCTCGACTTCCGGTATGTAATTTCAGATAAGTTTGGACCGAAAAATCAACGATTTTAAATGCTACCGTGATTTTGTGATTAGTCAGATGAGATTACAGTAGTTTGGACCAATACCATGTGCGTTAGAAGTCTTACATTTTGATAATTCCTCTGTCATGTCCGTTATTCATTCTTCTGCCATAAATGTTAAAATTTCTAATACATTTCACTTATTTGATTTTTTAAATATTAATCTACATTTCGCTAAAATTTCCCGCGCTAAAACCCCCTAAAATTGAAAAATCGCTAAAATTTCCCGGTGTCAAAATTACCCGTTTTACAGTATAAGATAAAAAAATTACTGTTTCTATGCTGGTCAAAACCGTTTTCCCCGGAATATTGGAGCGAGAGGTATACAGCGGGGGATATATATGTATGTACGGACAATCCTATGGTTTTGAAAAATATAATTTATATCCACTCATGGATATCAATATCTTTTCTCATTCACTGCGCTCACTTGGGAAGATATCATATATCCACTCATGGACATTAATGGGTAATGATTTCCCTGGGATAAACGGACAATCCAATGGTTTTAAAAAATATAATTTATATCCATTCATTGATATCAATATCGTCACTCATCAATTGCGCACGCTCACTCGTGAAGATATCATATATCCACTCATGGATATAAATGATATTTTTACAAAACCATGAGATATTCCTATATTATCCCGTGGTTGCAAGGATACAGATCGAATATCATGTGAAGATGTATATTTGATATGTGGATTAAGATATCATATTTTAGCAAAAAATGTCCCAAACCATCGAATATCACTTTTTAATCAAAATTCTTTTTTTGTTCAAATTTTTTGTCGCATTTTTTGATTTCTTTCAAATTATTGTTTGAATTCTTTTGAAAAAAATTCAAATAAAACAAAAAAATTCAAATTTATGTTTGAGCCCAAAACTTAGAAATAGAAAGATAATACTTCATGAACGAAAAAAAGTAGGCTGACCTACTGTAGACAGACAGGCGGGCGGGCGGGCGGGCGGGCGGGCGGGCGGGCGGACGGACAGGCTGGCAGACCGATAGGCTGGCAGACAGAACGACAGGCTAACAGGCTGAACGACATGTTGGCAGGCAGACAGACCACCGTGCTTCATAGTAAGAACCACTACATAAAACAAACAAGTAATCAAGCAGATTAACACACAAACAAATCTCCTCAAATTATCAAGAGATAAATATCTACATAGTGTAACATAGTCATTTGAATCATATAATTTTATAATGATCAATCCTCATTCATCTAACAGTTTTACACATTAACAGGTCCCTTCATCTCTTTACATCAGTATTTTAATCCCGTTGTTTTCTTGTCCTTTGTATATGTTTTACTATTCAGTTTCACAATCTATTGTTTCAACCAGTTTTGTTACTTTTCCTTACTGTGTTTCTTTTTATAATGTTTTGTGTCCTATATATGGCAATCGCATTCACTCAGTTGAGTTTGGGTGTTGGCCCAGTAGCAGAAGTAGTTGCCTTGTAGTTTTATGAACTGTACATGGACACAGTGTTTTTTAAAATAGATTATTTTAGATATTTTAAATACATTTTTCTGTGACTTTTATCTGCCACCCACGGGCCTTCCATCGCCCATTTACAATAGCAACAATTGGAAATAAAAAATCTTTACCTCGCCCAAACACCTAGCACCCATTGGTATATCTGTATGCCTAAAGCAAATTACACTTCCCCATACAGAATCACTATGGATATGTGTGAAGGCCGATTTAAAATATCATACTTTCATCACCAGATACCCACTAATTCCTTGTTTTGTACACGTACACGTCGACGAGTGACTAAGGACTTGTTTTAGGCGCACAAAAGGAACATTTAAAAAACCTGTATGTGTACGTGTAATTACAGGTACACGTACAGGTCGTCTGTATATCTTAAGGTCTCTAGTGTTTCTCAATATACAATAAAACTTGTAAAACCTTAAATGTCAAAATTCATAATGTGAAACTGATCAAATAATATGACATCCCAGTATGCGGTCAACTAAAGAAAGACAAGTTAAGAAGTATCAACCTCAGATCACAGGGCTTCAAAATCCAGAATATATTCTTTCTTTTTACCCCCTGCAATATGCAGTTAGCATTTCCCTGATTAAGAACTCGCAATCTGATTGGCTGTCGCAACTTTACGACACAAATCATGTCATTGCACATAATAAGATCATGTGATTCAGTTTAATCAGGCGCTTCCAAATTCCAAGAAGGAGTTACGGATTCTGGACACCTGCTGAGGAGGATGAGAAGTATAAAAGGAGAAAAGTTTTATATAGATTCCTTACATGCACTTATAATGAATTCAAATGACAAAAGAAACTGTGTGATCTTAGAAAGGTATGAAATAAGTTCCCTGATTGACAACTACTTGTGTTTCAGCTTCAGTTTTGTCTCTATTAAAAAGGTTCATGTGAATGCAAGTCACTTTATAAATCACCACCTTTAGATGCCGGTATCCGGTATCCTAAGTACATCGAATAAAAGAAAATAAATTTGTTTTTTCACCTCCCACCCTACCTTTTTTAGGGTGTTAACAAACATGATTTACTTTGAATGGCCTTACCTGCCATTGATGCTTGTCATCCCTCTTATATAGAACTCTGTACATGATTGGACTGATTGATTTATCTCCATTTGGCTCCCAAGTAACATTGATTGCAACACTGCTCTCAACAATGAGCTTCACCTTATTTACAGCATAAGGGACCACTGGAATAAGATAATATATTGGCTTTTTAGATAAATGTATGAAGAAAAGCACCAACCATCTCATATTTTGAATTGCGTTACTTGGTAAAAAGTGTTTTAGGTTTTCATATATACAAATAATTGACTTAGAATTGGCCTTAACATTGATTGCAACACTGCTCTCAACAATGAGCTTCACCTTATTTACAGCATAAGGAACCACTGGAAGAAGATAATACATTGGCTCTCTAGATATTACTTAAACTTCATCTCAATTGTGCAACAGTTCAAGTGTAAATGTAAATCATAGAGCGGGTAGGTGGTTAAATACTGTTTAAGGGTGTTCCTTGGGTGTTTGTGTAGAGTGCTATGTCCACCATAAGGCACCAGCATATAAATCTGAACCAAATCCATTGACTGGTAGATAAGATCAGAGATTACCAAAAAATGGCAGCCATTTTGAATTCAGTTGCCATCTTGGAAAATTCTTTTTGAGTGGAGTCCTTTGTCCCTAAGGCATCAGTATTTTAATTTTGATCCAAATATACTGGTATCTGAGTTATCAAAAATTTGGATAATATCTAACTTTTATTGACAAACAATATAATTACTACAACTAATTAATTATACAATAATCTATATTTACTAACATGCAGTGATGCAATTATAGTATTATCAGGAGCTCTGCAATTGATATGATATGTACATTTGTACATGCAGAAAGATGTACTTAAGAGCAGAAAACAAACACACTTTTGTGTGATAACAATTGATTAATAAGTACAAAAACACGGAGATTCAATAAAGGAACCATAAAAAGCTCAATAAGCAAATATGGCAATGTGATCCACTATATAAATGCATTGTGAGAATAATGGGTGGGGTTCTAGAAAATTAAAATCAGGAAAACAATAAGACACAGGGTGAACTGCACCCTTTGAACCTGTAGAAAAGCCTCAACAGGCAAGATTTAAGGATTGAAAATCCAAAATGGCTGCCTTAACATTTACCAAGAATGCTCAAAAACTAATCAGTTCTAAACGTTCACATGTAGAAATATCCCTAAAATTTCAGACGAATCCATGAAACAGTTAGAAACCTGTAGAAAAGCCTCAACAGACAAGATTTTAGGGTGAAAAATTCAAAATGCTGACCTTAACATTTACTCAGAATGCCCAAAAACTAATCAGTTCTTAAGTTTTATACATACTGTACATACAAGCTTATAAGTAGTTGGATGTGTAGAAAACATAGCATCCTCTAATATACTAAAAGACAATACTTGTGATGATTATGTCTCAAACAAGATATATCTGTTTCATTTCAAGAATGCATAGAGTGCAATAAGGGATTAGTAAAATTAATAATGTTAAGCAGCTAAAAATTACCTAGACACCAAGTCTGATATGTATATTTCATCCAAAACAAAAATGGTAGTGGAAGTCACAAAGTTGCTCCTTCTTGGCACTTTGGATTTCCAAGGTATGGAATTCCAGGGTATGAGGTTTTCAAAGTTTTTTTTATTGAAAATCTAACATGTAATCTAACTATAAGTATTTTCTCACCCAAAATACAAGATTTCTCATTAAAATAATATGTTTTTTGAAAGGTCCCAAAAAAACATGGATAATGACAAAACACTTTTATAACTGTCTTGTTTTCTGAAAGTGGGTTTTTATTGCAAAGGGCCTTAGGAGATTTTATTACATCAAGAGATTTTCAAAGTCAAAATGAAGCTATTTAAATGTTGGTTACCAAAATTCAGCTGATAACAATGAATATGTTGAATTTTAATGCAATTCCCCTTTCAGATGTTTATGACACCAAAAAGTTTTCATAAAAAAAGAAAATAAGGAAAATATTTTCAAAAATATGTTGAAATGGGATCCTAAACAATGGTTTTTTAGAGAGTTGGATTGATATATATATCCTAATTACATCAAAAGAAAAAATTATTATAATAGTAAAGTGTTGGACTGAAATATGGTGAGAATATAGACATGGTCAAAGACAGTACTGCATAAAATCATTCCCTATACCATAAATTCCCTATACCATAAATTTTCTTACCTTCAGGAATCTCCAAATATAAAGTCCAGATATTTTAAGCGACATTATCTACATGTACATCATAATTGCCATTTTGTTTCTTGGGTGAAAATATCCATATGAAAGGAGAAACCCATGATTTTGTGTATACTCATTCAGTGGTGGATCCAGGAACCAACAAGGGGGGCCCAAATTTTCGGTCAGAGAAAAAAACGTCCGCGCTTGCGCAGAAAAAAAATTTGGGTCCCTAAAACCAAAAAGTGGGCCAACTTTTTGGGGCCTTAAGGCCGTTTTTGGCCCAAAATTTTTTGAGCCCAATTTCCGGATCCGCCACTGTCATTTGTGTGTATTAAGAATATACACATTTGGCTGATTTCAGTATCTCAGTCTAAGACCAACAAGTCTGTGAAAGCAGAACAGCTGAGACAAAAGGCTTTATGAAAAAATCATCTTGGTGTCTAATTGATCTAAAAGGCAATAAATCTTATTTATAACATACCTATGATGATGTATTGTGCAAAGTGTACACAAGACAGCGGGCCAATATAAGTTTTGAAAAGCCCGCGCCCGCTAACTTTCTGATTGGTCAAGGCGCTGACGTCATAACCAATCAATCGAAGATAAAACTGCGCGAGCAATTTTTCTAAACTCATTTCAATCATTTTCAAACCATTCGTTTGTCAATTCTTTAAGAAAACGGTACGCTCTGACAAGTATACATCATCATAGGTATGTTATAAATCGTTTATGTCACTATCGTGGCACATATACCCTCGGTTCTCAGAGATCAATGTCCCTCCCAAGGTCGGGCCATATATCACTGAGACCTCGGGCATATATGCTACGATAGTGACATAACCTCTAATTATTGTAGCAAGGCTTTCCATATGAATGCAGGTAGATTAATTAATGCATACTACTCTATATAAGAAAGCATTTAAGCACCAGTCACCAACCAGCATTTAGAAGTTAACACTCACTATTTGCTTCCATGTCTATGCTCTCTCTTGCAGTGGTTTTACCAATATCATTGATACAATCAATTTGTAAATAAAGGTAAAGCCTGGCAGAAATATGAGTAAAGTTACAATGATTTGAAGAACAGATGCAATTGGATTTATCTTCCCCATCTTCAGATGAACATGGTGTCAATCCTCCAAAGTTTGGGTGCCTGCAAAAACACAAAAGTTAATATGACAACACAAATAATAGATTTAATAATAAATACTCACTGTGATCCTTCATAACTATCTGATGATGATGTTGGGGAAGTTCTCCAAGCTCATTCCTTATTGTCAGAAACAAATACAATATTTGCTGACTAGCAGACTAGCTACAATCCTTGAGAAATAGCAATAATTCTCAGTACAGCTGCACATGGATTCAGTTCCACCACATTGATGCAGTTTACCGCGAAATCTGTAAAAAGATCTGCATCTGCATACAAAAGTGAATCCCTTCTCAGATTTAAAATCTAAACCTTTCAATAGCGAATAGAATCAATAATTCCCAGTCCTCTGAAGTTTGAATGTATGTACCTGGGTGTTAATCCATAGATAATCCTTGAAAATGAGAAATATTTTTGGGGATTATATAAAGCAATCTTATACAGTGCGTATCGAAAAAATTGCAACAGATTGTTATCTCGGAAAAGCACAAAACCAGTGATAACAGCATTGTTTTCATTTCATGCACCATAAAGCCACGCATCTCCTTTTTACAATGATATATCATTCATTGATATTTGGTCATGGTTGGGCGAGTAATCATTCCATTTGCAAAGTGGGCCAAAATTAACTTGGGACCAAGTTATAAACATCGCAAAAGTCAGTGTACGGAGCCCGATGCAATATTGGAAGGAAACATACAACCAATGCTGACTGCATCCTTTTTTTTCAATGTACCAAAAAGCCAAATTACTCCTCTTTGCAATGAAATATCATTCATTCACAGAGAGTCAATTGGCTGGCCAAATAATCATTAATTTTGCAAAGTGGGGCAAAATTCAGATCCGACCCAAGTTTTAAACATTGCAAAAGTCAATGCAAGGGACATAGGGGCTATTGTAAAAAGGTGTGACAAGTGTGGCATAGACAGTAAAGTGTTCATACTCATACTCTTGCAAGAATACATCCTATAACCCTACTCCAAATTGCCACCACTTCCTTGCACATAGAGATGCGCTCATCTGTCCATGTCATGCATGGTTCAGCCCAGAGTCATCTGTGGGTTAAGGCAGAGAAAAGCAGCCCATGGGCAATTCTTTCTCGAGGTTTTGCAATATCTGGTGGAGGAATTGTGAGCACAGATGCTCCTGAGATAGCTCCAAATGAAAAAGTCACAGCAATTCAAGTCAGGGGAACTTCCATTGGCACTTAGCCCTTGCACTGATTTTTGCAATATCTAAAACTTGGCCCAGAGTTTAGGTACATTGAATGAAATTCATGTAGTCATCACTAGTTTTGTGATTTTACGAGATAACTACTTGTTGCGTTTTTTTGATACGTCCTGCTATACACGTAGTCAATAAAATCTTTTAAAGAGTATTGATGTTTTTTGGATGAATGACATAAGTGAAATGCTTGAAAAAACTCCCACGATTCATTCTACAAACAACTCCCCTTCTTTGCGTCCTAATAAATGATCATTTTTATAAGTGTTTCAAAATTTATTGTTGCAATGATACTAGTTTTTTGTAAGCTACAGTACATATTAGTCCACTGTGTTCAACAACAAAGTTACAACTACAGTTAAAAAAAATAGACAGATAGTTGTTTTTTAAAGTTACAACTCCAGTTACAACAAAAGATTGGATGAGTTGAAAACAACCAACAAGATGCTATCGGAACAGCTTTACGTTTACATGTTGAATAAAGAAACTATTCATGTGTAACTCGAAATACTGAAAATACTCATGGAAAGTTATTATCAAAATAGACAATGAAATATAAATATCCTCTTTGTTGTGGTTAGACTTCAATATTCCAGCATTGTCAATGTGAAAGCAGGAGAATAGACATCTTCTATTTTTTTCATTTTCATTGACTCACACACTTTGAAGGTGCCCAGAAAGCATCTCAAAAGTGTAAAATTTTGTTTGGGGAAAACAGTTTCAAAACAATTGAAAAGTTTGGAAGCTGCATTTGTTATTTGAAACACTTTAAAA